AATAACTCAACACTTGTCACTCGCGCCTCCTCGAATTACTTGCGCGTGTAACAGGTAGGGCTTTAGCACTCTGCTGAGAAAGGCAGCAACCCGGCCGCTACAGCAAAAAAGCTAGTGCTCTGCCCGCGACAGTTCAAAATCTGCTTCGTAAAAGGTATATCCAAGCAGGGAACGATTGTATACTACAGAGCACATCAAAATGTAAGTGTCTGTCAACCTAATAGTGTGCTTGAGTAGACTATTTGTGTTGGAGATGGGATTACAGAGAGACAGGACAAGTAACAGCTTTTGTATGTTGAGTATCAGAAAACATTGTCACAAGAATAGGGGAAAATATGCCTAGCTAGTGCAACTCAAGGTTGTTTGGTAGACTATTGCATTGGTCCATTCATTGAAGATGAACGCAATGCGACATCCTGAACTGGTGCTGAACTGCTGATCCGAATGTATAGGTAAAAACCATATTATGCGTTTTCATCAATAAATAAATGGCCACATTTTTTTTAGCGTGCGCGCTAATGCGCACTCGCATGGATTGGGGGCCCACAAATAGATTCTTTCATGGGGCCCAGAATTTCCAGCTACGCCCCTGGCACTCCTCATCGATCATTTAACTTACTTTTCCTCAGCCTCTCGGCTGACTAGCTCCACCCAGTGACACTCTGCAGGACTTTGTCTGTCTTTCTTTTAAATTTACCAGCAGCAATATGGAAACTTGTATAACATTGATGTTATCTTATGTAATTAACCTCCCTCTGTGCCAGTCCTCAGTGACGGTGCAGAGCCTCGGTGCCACCACCCCCGTCTCCATCCCCCCCTCAGTGTTGGAGCAGCCCCCCCTAGCCCTGAGCGTGGCGGCTCAGATGGAGCCTGACGGAGGAAGCAGCGGGACCCTGGGCTCCATGATGGGAGGGCTGCATGGGGGGGAGCAGAGCCCCCTGCCCAGCCAGCGCCGGGCTGAGTCAGAAAGACCCTCCTGATCTCAAAGCTGACACTTTAGTGTTTGGGATGAGTAGTGATGATGTAAAGCATGTGCGTGTTATGATGCTTTATTTGAATGTGTGGACTGAACATGTGTAACTGTCCAATAAAGCTACTACAAAACATCCTGCTGTTAGTTACTGTCATTTGTAGCTGTTATATGTCATTTACAATAACTCTTTATTTGTATTTGGCTAGTTTAATGTTTACACATTAGCAGTAGTGCTACGTTGAGTTAAGTTATACTGTTTAATTAATTTGTATTGTCTGTTTGTGTATTTCTTATGTATTCTTTTACTTATTCAGCGGTTGGAGTAATTCATTCAATTTTAAACCTCATTGAATGGCTCTTTGATTTGACTTTTGTTTTCCTTTGAACGTACCTGTAACAAGCACGCAAGCAATGTTGCAATGTCTGTTTTCTAACATGGTGCAGCCCTAATGTGTGCATTGTAGCAGTGAAAGCATTGCTCTGTTTCATTAAATGTGAATAAAATAAAAATGTCTCTTCACTTACACCAGTGAATAATCATGATAAATAATGGTGCTCTCAATATTTTCAAAAATGATCGTGATGATCATTTTTGGCAGGATAATGTGTACATTTCTTTAGCAAGATTGCAAGAAAGGTCATTTTGAAAAGTAATTCGAAAGGGTTTGATATCTGAAAAGGTGTGTGTATATTGCAATATTGTAAGATGTAAATGAATATAATGTAACTATTAAAAAGACGTTTCTTTTCATATAACCCCGACCTCTACACGTTTCTAAGGACGACACGACACAGTAAGTGCAGAGCAATTCATTGTCAAATAGCAGAAAACAATACAACAGCCACGCGCTAAAAAGTGGTTTAAATAATGTTCACCCAGCTTCCCATAATCCCTCACTTCAACCTCTCAGATCACATGATGACATGAGCAGAGCATACACACGCATCACTTGTAGAAAAACACACACACCAATCCAACATTATTTTACCGATCACATCCTCACCCACACAGACACACAGCGTGACATCATTAGTCATCCCATGTGCTCTATTGCTTTAAGAGGACCCATCTGATGCTGTGAGACATGCAGAGCAGGTACAAATAGTTACCCCCCCCCCCACGCCATAGAAAAAAGCCCATAGCATGCTTTACTGAAATGCGCTTCCATGTGCTTCGTCTACACACTATCTGAATACATGTGTCATAGCAGACTAAAAGGAAACACCGCAGACTAAACTGAGATATGGAAGTTCATTCCTGCCCGTGAAAGTCCCGATCATAAAACACCGACTCTTAAAGATCTATTTTAAAAGAGATACTGTCAGTCATTTTAATAAAACGGTAAATCTCTAAATATGGCGATGAAACTCAATATTTGTTATGACTAGACAAAAAAAAAGTTGAACTTATTTAAATTAATTAAATAAGGAATTGTATTAGGTTAGTTGGATATTAGGTTGATATTTTTTCTTTCAACCTAATATTATTGCTTTCAACTAACATCATACAATTATGTCTAATCTGTTGACAAAAATAATTAAGTCAACCTCTAAATGTTTTGTGAATAGACATATTTATAAATGTTACTACAGTCAATGGTTTCACATAAAATTTGACCTCTTAATAAATCAAAATTCTGAGTCAAGATTAAGAATAAAATAAATATTTGAAGGCAAATTTAGCAACTTATATTAAATTAAAAAGACATGTCATAATTTTGACTGAATCTAAGATTAATATTTTTTTAGGTCAATAAAAGTAAAAAAAGTTATCCTCGCTAATTCTCTTTTTTGTTGAAAGTGTTTTTTGTTAACATTCTTGAGTCTCATTTCTGGGTGGTAACAGGCTTCCATATTTCTACCTCATGTGCCAGGACACTCATAAAAAAGAAAAAGAAATATTGTATGGTCCAGGCTACATTCACACAAACAGCATTGTGGAATTATTGTGGCAAAATAAAAAATATTTTGTCAATAAAAACTTCATTTACATTCATTTGAAATGACAGCATTTTGGATATTGTGTTCACTGGAAGATGTTTAGCCCTGTGATTCTATTTAAAAAGTCCCTGTCCGGCTGCAGCGACTCGGCTGTACACGTGTGCATCATTCTGTATTCTGCTAAAGAGTCACACAGCTGCTAAGTCTGCAAGAGTTGCATTGGTTTCAGTGTGCGTGGGATGTTTTGTTTCATGATGACGGAGGCTTCAATCCCTGGTGAGACTTTGCATCATATTCAAGGCGTTTCATCAGTAAAACGGTGACATCACTCCTCTGTAAAACTCATGTGTGGACTCTTCCAGTCCAACACACACACATTAATGATCTGTAGGTTCATTAAAGCACTGGAGCTGGATCAAACATCTCGTAAGGTGCTAAAGGTATTCAACATAAGCGGTGAACATGTAACAAGACTCTTATGTTTGTTCCACAAAATGCATCACTCATATATTCACACATTTCAACGAGCAAAATATGCACCTAAAAAGTAAAAATACATTTCTAGGAAGAAGTTAGGTGATAGAGAGATGAAGCAGACACATCATTCAGCTCAGTCTTTGGTTAGGTGAGAAGCCAGCAGCACTTTAGAGAAGCCTCAGAAACATTTGGACAGGATCCCTGAAGAGCACCTGACTCACTTCAAGTGGCGAAGAGTCAACAGAAAAAGGGCCAAGGGGAGATGGAGTCCTGGTGTGGAAGCCCTTGGTAGGTCAAACTGCTGGTTTATAGAGGGAATGTGATGGATGCTGGTGACGGCAGGGAGAACATCCACTGCATCCACTGGTGGAGAGAGTCGCTGTACGGCAGTTCAGTCTTCACGCGTGGGCAGGAAGCGGAAGGTGCCCTCGGAAGCATCGGAGAAGGTGAAGACCTGCGGAAAGGAAGGCGGCGGCTCCTGCAAAGCAGCGGATGAAACGGAGCCCCTTTATTATTCGCAGAGTGCTGGGACTCCTCAGTCAGGTAACAGAAAACAGAGTTCTCCCTCCAGGGCCGAAGCTCCTCTCACAGCAGAGGGGGGGGGACTCTTTCAGGTTCCGTGGTGGTGTGGGTCTGCAGCCTGCTGGAGGCCTTCATCTCTTCCCTGACTTCATGTAGGACGGGATAGCCCCTCGGGCGGTCAGGCCTTCGAAGCGTTTGTAGGTGTAGTTGATGAAGACCCAGTCCTTGTTCTTCAGGTCGGCCTCCGTCTGGTTGGACACCGGAGCGACTGGGGGGGGGGGAGAAGATGCTTTAACTTATTGCAGACGTCATAACAGAGGAGCAGACTGTGCAACAGAAAGAGCAGCGTACCTGTTGGGGTGAGGATATCTGAATCAGGGAACTCATCAAAGTTGGAGGTGTCGTCGATGCTTTTGATCTCGATGGGGATGGCAGCAGGTCTCTCTCTGAAGAGGAGGAGGAGGTGATGTGAGAAAGGTGAGTGGGACAATCACCAAAGAGAAATCATGCATTTGAGAAATGAGGGAGCTGGTGAGGATTATGTTTGCCTGGAAATTGTTAACCAGGTTCCAAAGCAGCTGATTTGGCTGGGTGGCAGTTCCTATTGTCACTTGAGATAAAGCTGCTATTTCTGGCAAGCAGCTCAGGCAGTTTAAACAAGCAATACGAGCATTGCAAAATAATTAAAATAATTCTGAATCAATATTTAGTATGTAGCCGTGTAGTTGAAGGGCCCTGCTCACCCTGTCGTGTTATTTTCTAATGAATGACTGCGAGCTACACTTTATCCTTCACTTGATTGTCCCGAATAAAAAACATTTTCTCGAGCTGAGAGATGAGCACATATCTGTACCAAGGTCTTCTGAAAACCCTGAGGTTACCAACTGAACCAGAAGGTATAAAGTCAAACGTTTGTTCCTGATTAATACATTGAGCACATTCCACAAAAGTTGAAAATAAAAGCACCCCGATAGAACGGCAGTCTGTCCCTCTTCGATTTTTGTACACTGAATTATATTTGTATTATTATATTTATACAACATTGTACATTTAGAAAAACTGGTATCAGGTAAATTTATTGTTTGCAATAATGCCCAGCACTACATGATCAAAAGTAGTGGTTTAAATACATGTTGTTGCACTTTGAGAACCTACTGAAGTCAGACTCTGTACAGAGACACAACTCCAAGCTACAACATCTCTAAGATAAAGAAAATATTTGAAATGTCTCCTTGTGATAACTGTCCTTGACCATGTAAAAGCCCCCACCTGATATGGTCGTAGTCCACCCCCTCAAAGAAGGGGTTGGACTTGATGTCCTCCACCCCCACAGCACCGATCCTGTGCTCCTCCTCACAGCAGAACCTGGGAACAACACACGTCACATTAATATCACAAAACTCAGAGCAAACCTTTCAGGTGCCCTTCGACATAACGCCCTCATTGTCATTATACAATACTAATAGAGATACTGATATGTGTTATTAATGCACAGTGAGAGAACAGATGAACACAGGAGTTCTTGCCTGAGGATCAGATCTTTGGCCTTCTCTGATATAGGCACTTCTGGAGGAAAAGTTAGCGTCTCTCTCCAGTTCATCACTTTCCTGTACGTCTCCTGAGGCGTCTCTGAACAGAAGGGGGGGTAACCTGCACACAGGGAGGACAGCAGAATCACCAACTGTCCCTTTCAACCACATCAGCCAGAGGGTAAACAAGATCGCGACAGCCTTACCTATCAACATCTCATACATGATGACACCCAGGCTCCACCAATCACAGAGCTTGTTGTATCCATTCTGCATGAAGACCTCTGGGGCGATGTAGTCGGGGGTTCCCACTGTGGAGAACGCCTACGAAAGGGACGGGAAACAACAGTTAGACTATTAAAAGCTGTTAGCATTGAGCTAAAAGATGAAGATAAAGTCATTTATTCAATCTGACCCTAACTTCAAAAAGGGCCGTTTTATTCATTTTGGGGTTTTCCCTCTCCTGTAGTGTGTTCTATAGGTTTTAGTGCATGTAAATGGTCAGCAAAGGCTAAAATCTCTGTGACACTCGCGCTTCTATTGGCTAGCGCTCCAACACATTGTACGTTATAGGCTAAGGGGCAGGACATAATCTAAGCGGTTGACCAATCACAACAGAGCCGGCCCGCTAACCAATCAGAGCAGACTGGGCTCTTGTTTCAGACAGAGGGTGAAAAGAGCACAGACAGTATGAGAAAGATAAAGAGCTTTCGGAACAGCATGGAGACATGTCACAGTAGAGACACTACATACTGATATACACCTGAACATCAGCAGGAGAGGACTCTTTAAAGTAGAGACACTACATACTGATATACACCTGAACATCAGCAGGAGAGGACTCTTTAAAGTAGAGACACTACATACTGATATACACCTGAACATCAGCAGGAGAGGACTCTTTAAAGTAGAGACACTATATACTGATATAAACCTGAACATCAGCAGGAGAGGACTCTTTAAAGTAGAGACACTACATACTGATAGGAATGGACCTGAACATCATCAGGAGAGGACTCTTTAAAGTAGAGAGACTACATACTGATATACACCTGAACATCAGCAGGAAAGGACTCTTTAAAGTAGAGACACTACATACTGATATACACCTGAACATCAGCAGGAGAGCACTCTTTAAAGTAGAGACACTACATACTGATATACACCTGAACATCAGCAGGAGAGCACTTTTTAAAGTAGAGACACTACATACTGATAGGAATGGACCTGAACATCAGCAGGAGAGCACTCTTTAAAGTAGAGACACTACATACTGATAGGAATGGGCCTGAACATCAGCAGGATATGCCCTCTATAAATTGTACTGTATTTTTCATTTGAGTCATACATAATTAAAGGCCGGTGCCAAACTGCTGTCGAGTGTAATGATATCTGTGCTCAGACCTACCAGCTGCCTTCTGTTCCTCTTCCACGTCTCTGCTTTCCTCTTGGAGTTCATGTTCTGGAAGGCTGAGGGGACAGAGAGCGCTGATGCAGTGAACAGGCTAACATGTGGTGCCAGCTATTTAAAATACTTTTTTATTATGTAAATAATAGAAGAAACACATATTGATAAAAAGATAAACTAATGTGCTAGAGATGAGATCAGTGGAAGGTGTGCCCTACTTTGTTTACTGAGGTCGCTGGCGCTGGGCAGGCTGTGGTTCAGGTTCTTGTAGAACTCTGTGCGGTGCGCTCTCTTCAGCCCGGTGCACAGCCCAAAGTCTGACAACTTCACGTGACCCTGAGAACACAATACACACTGTTAGAGCTGCTGTACACTGCGAGGGTTAAACAGTATTGCCGCCCTGACTCTCATTCATCTCTGAGAGGAGCAAAGTATTCATATCATAAAGAGCTCATTTAAGTGTTCTGTGTTTGCTAGCGGTTCACAATAATGGCCAGAATGATAAGAATTATTTAGATGTATAAAGATTCTTCATCACAATTATGAATCGTTTTTGTGAAAACGTTTATTGCACTTTAAATAAACGTAGCACTGATTTATTTTTCATGTAAGAAAAAAAGATTGCAATATTGCTATTTCTGCAATATGTATTGTGATATAAAATATATAAAGTATTATTTAGGAACGATGGATCCAATTTAAAGTGAAACGCAGCAACCTGGCGCATTTTAAGAGTGAAATAATAGAGTTGGAGAGAAATAATGAGGCTAGATTAAGTCAATGTTGTGCTCTAATCATAATCACATTTGTTCAAAGGAACTATACATAAGGTCACACCCTCAAAAGTGTGGTGAACTAGAAGCTTCGTGTTTCAACACGGGTCAGGTGGTTTGCCCACACCGCCTCAGAGGATGATCGCATTTTTTTATTTAAAAAAAAAAATTGGATCCATTTTGCAGCGCTTTTGTATGCTAGACTCAGAACTAGGGATGGGTACCGAGCCCCGGTATTAAACGGGCCCCGGGGCTGAATTATTAAAGACCGTGGTACCGTTATGCTCCGACGTTAGCGGTCTTTTTATCGGTACTGAGACATGTAAAAAATATATGTCATGTGTATTATTGCTATACACAAACATTATATTTCAGTTTTAGTGTCGCCAACTTTGTTTCTAACATGCAAAAAGACTGCAAAAGGCTTCTATGATTATTTTTAGTATTTTCGATCTCTCCCCCGCCTGCTTGTGAGGGGGCGGGGCAGTTTACACACACGCGGCTGCTACATGCAGCAACACACGGCGGAGATGGCGGAGAGAAGCGCTCCGAGGTGTGGTTAAACTTTACTCGTCTCGATGTGGACAATGCTCGTTGCCAAAAGTGCAATAAGAGTTTAGCATGTCAGGGCGGTAACACGAGCAGTTTGTCTAAACATTTATCAAAAGAGCACCACATCCAGACGGAGGAATTCACCGGGTTGGACTGTCTTTCTAGAAGCTCTGTAGCCCCATCCACGAGTAACGTTTCCCCGTCAGGTGTTCTGTATGCTAGCAGCAACACACGGAGTTAACTCCATTATACAAACATGGGTTAATGATTAGAGGTAACTGAGTTATTTAGTTTGTTAAAGTTTCAGCTATTCTGTTTACAGTTCTGTCATCAGATGATTTAATACCATTTGTTAAAACATTGTTGTTTCTTTTGATGTGAAATATTATTTATTTAATTTAAATAAAAAGCAATGTTAGTTTTGTTCACAATGTGTTTTCCTACCGTACAATTCCAAAATTGCCGATGATATGAAATACGCTTATGCGAAATAGCCAGGCCCGCAAAATTGCCATGAAAATAGCCAAAGAAAACCTTTTT